GCTGCGTTCCCCGCCGGCTCCGTCACGGAGCTCTGGTCGCTGGGCCCGTCGCGGCCCCCGTGGCTCCGTGGTGCCCTGGGCCCGCTGCCCTGGGGCTGCTCCGGCCGCTGCCGGCCGTTGGACACTGTTTCCCTGGATGTCCCGGGGCTCCTTCCTTGCACCACACACCCGTGTTTAACTGCATGGGAGCTTCCCCCCTGCAGCAGACCCTGCTCCTTAGTGACGAGTCTAGAAACGAGGAGGGGGCACCAAGACCCCTCACAGCGCCGCGGGGGACGGCTCCGCGCCGCGTCAGCGTTCGCCTGGCCATTAGTGAAGTTTAAGAGCAGATGATGCAGAGAGCCTTTCTATTTATATATCCTTTAGCAACCTACACTATTAGTGTGCTTTTCAATATAAATGTATATTGTGAGAGGCTTGAAACAAAATCAGGTAGCTTTTTTTTGTGCCTTGAGCAAGTTTTGGTAAATACCTAGTAATCCCAGAGTATATCTGCTGAAGTTCATTCCTCAGGAGAAAAATACAGCATAAGTTTTATGTTGCAGGGTGTATCAAAAGATGGATTAACTACTGGCTGGGGGGAGCATGATAACCAAAGATAAGCCCAAGGGCCATTAGTAATAGTCTGTCATTAACTAATGAGAAGACTCTAAAGCCATTGCTGATACGTGTCATTTCCAAATTTTAATTTTTGCGTTGTGTTTCAGCCTTTACATCATGTATATGTACTGTTAAGACTTGATTGATGCACCAGGCTCTTTATGAGCATGGTTTTCATTGTTGCTAATAGTCTTCATCTTCCTTAATATAATTGGAACTTGTGGTTGCTCACTATTTGAGAAAAGCAGGTTATAATTTGTGTATATTAGCTGGTGAGGTCAAAGGAATTGCTCTTACATTGTAATCTTGGGTAAATAAATAAAAGAAATGAGCTGCGTGTTGCAGCAATGGGTGCCAAATTTATTTAGTTTGGCGGCTGCTGTGGAGTTTTAATTAGAATTTTTAATCGAGGGCACAAAAGATGTGAGTGAGCCTAATAATTCCTGGAGTGTTACATTTTATCTGTGCATCACTCCACTGGAAAAGCGAGTACATTTATAATCCAGGCATAAATGAAAAATTATTCATTTATCAACTCTTTTACCTCCACAAAGTGTTAGTTCTTCAGAGATTTATGGAGGTGTCACAAGCCTTTACTAAAGGGTTGGCACAGGCTGGTTTTTGTGACTGCGAGGGAGATTTGCATAGTCTGATCATCCTTTTTACTGAGTTGGAGCTTGCTGGCAGGATAGTGCAACCGTTGTGGTTCATTCTGTCATTCCTCCTCTGTATTTCAGGGGAATCAGGTACTGACCGTAATATCCTTGTCTCAAAGTTCCTTTGAAATGTTTCTTATTGCCAGGGATAAAGGCATTTTCCTCTCCCGCTCCTGTGGTACTGGGATATGCCCGTATGCTGGGATATGCCCAGCTAAGGCAGGGAAAAAAAAACGTGGTGAGAAGGTGAGAACAGCCAAAACACAGAAAGCTCACGGACCTGCAGCAGCTCCTACAAGGGACAGGGACAAGCAGGAGAATTCCATATGAACCCCCCTGTAACATCAAGAAAGTCTGCTTGGAAAAAGACTTTCTTCTTTCTCTCCTTTTCTTTTTTTTTAGTGGTTTGTCTGAATGTTTAGGCTGAGGACAAGTTCCCCCTACCCTCAGCAGAATAAAAAAACACTGACATTTTAAACATGCAGAACTGCATATTGGTTCATATTTGATCCTTTTCCATGCTGCAAGTTATGGTTTTGTCCACTCTGTTCCCACAGATATTTTGGATTCTTAAGATTTGAGATAAAAATATAAATAAAATAGGATGTTGGGTAATGGGTAATAGCCATATAAATAAGATAGGTAAACTCCTAGTTTTAGATGAGCTGTTTGTATGCTGAGCTTCTTTACAAAATTATGAATGAGATTTGTGGGTTTTGCCAATGGGTTAACAATGCTTTAAGGCTACTGCTAAAAAAGTGGTGTTTTCATTTTGTTTGGGAAAGCAAGCTGGAATTCATTACAGGCCTGGAATTAGTCGAATGATTTAATTAATTAGAATTAAGCTTGGCAGCCAGTCAGGCTGGGCTAGCGCTCAGCTCCATGACTTCATGGCAAGATTACTGTCAAGTAATATTCCTCCTCCAGCTTTAAATCAATTACGAGGTTTTGTGCTCAGTTGCCTCTCCTCCCTTTCGCGGTCGGTGTGTAATCCTGCGTGGAGGCCCGGTGTGCAGGATGGTTCAACAGCTTCCCAAGCGAGAGCAGGGGTATCATTCGCCACGTTTTACTAAGTTTTCCACTGCATGACATTCTAAGTGGTGATGCTCGGTCTGGTTTTGCTCCATTTAAGGCAGAATTCTCATGGCAGCGGAGCGGGAAGGAGCTGGCATCTCCCCTGCAAGCAGGCTGGCCTTGGAGAACGTCACACAGGGCACGTGCGGGAGAAGGAATGCGAAAATCAGAGCAGATCTTGTGGAAATAAGGCAGCGCTTGCCTGGTCATTACTGAACCTCCAGTCACCCAGGTTCACCTAGTCTAGCAAGGAGGATTCTTGTACTTAATGCAGATAAATGGTGACATTTGCTGAAAGTGCACTCATATATACAAGCAATTTTCCCAAAATAGGGAACCAAAACGAGATAGGAACAATATTCTGTCCCATTCAGAATAAACAGCCAGGCTGTTTTAGCTTCAGTATTACAAAAAATTGGACCCATGCAAATAAGAACTTGAAGTTAGTTTAGAAACTTAGCAATAGTCACCATTCTTTATTTGTATTTTTTTTCAAGTAAATCCCTCAGAGGTGAAATTGTAAATGGGCTGAAGTCTAGGGAGTTTGACTGACTTCTGTGAAATCAGATTTTACCATGTTGAGTCATTCCAAGCTGCTCACCCACCTGTTCTTATCTCTGTAATCTAAGTTTAATTTTATATTTATTTTTGCCTTTTTTTTTTCTTTCTGTAGTTCTTATATACCCAGGCCAGTCTCTCTTAGCAGTCTGACAGATAAAAGCTGAGGTTTGGCCTCTGGTTTTTGAAGCAAACCACACGGGGTTGTCTTGGCCATTCCCCACTTTTTGTAGTTCTTATATACCAAGGCCAGTCTCTATTACCAGTCTGACAGATAAAAGCTGAAGTTTGGCCTCTGGTTTTCTGAAGCAAACCACACGGGGTTGTCTTGGCTGTTCCGTATTGGAAAGCCCCAGTGCAGTCGAGCCGTGGATGGACACGGGCTCCAGCGGCCCGTCCGCCTGGGCTGTGCTCAAATCTCTAGTTTTGTACTCGAAAACAGGAGCATTTTAAGATTCCAGGAATAAATCTCTGTTCTGTATGCTGCACATGTATTCTGGATAACCACACCACTTCAAAGTCCAATGTGGAAGAGTGTCCAGGCAAGAGCAGGAGTGGGAGGCTCCCGTTCGGCTCTTCCGGAGCCCTGGGAATGTGGAGGCTCTTCGGATCCACGTAGTCTTTCCATACTGTTGCATCGCGTGCACTTATGTAAGAAGGACATGTAGGAAAAGAGAGGAGTTCTGATGTGAATTCAGAATGGAAATGGTGGGTTTGGTGACTTTCACTCAAATTTTAATGAAGGCTTTTCTGAGCATCTGATGAAATAGATGTTATTTTTCCAAAACACGATTGGAAAGGAGGTACCAGAGATCAGGAAGTGAACTTAATTTGGGGAATTTTTATAATGATGCCTATTTTATTTGTTTTCTTTTAGCAGATAGAAGCATTAGTTCATGTCCAGGGGATGAAAGTGATGATCTTAGCATCAAAACTAAGAGAAATAAGTAAGTGCCAAAGTTTATTTATCCATATGTAATGTTGGGAAGCTAAATTCATGTACAAATAAGTGCAAAGAGAAAAAAAAATCTTTTTTATGGATAAATTACGAGAGCTGCTTTTAAGGTATCCGTTTATTCATCGAGCTCCATGATTCTCTAAAACACATATAGCCATCATTCATTTTTTGTCATGTTTATCATTCATTTATCACTCATTTTTATACCTCAGTGCATTTCACTGAGGTGTAACTGGACTATTTAAGAAACCTCAAGTCCTGTTCTTATTCCAGCAATGCTGCAACAGTACTAAATGGAAAAGAAACCATTCTCCAGAGAAAGTCCGGTTGTTCCTGGAAAAAAACCCCGGGGTTGAGGGTGGAGGGTGCCCTGGGCTGGATCAAGGGGCCGCAGGGGCCCGTTGGGGGCTCTGGAGGACGGCGGCTCCGCGGCCGCCTGCACAACGCGCTGCTGCGTTCTGCCTTACGCTTAGGTGAAATTTCCTGTGTTTTCCCTTGCCCCCTGGCTGGATACGAGGGCGTGTGGGTTCCAAATGCAAAACTGTGTTATCGTGGCGAGCAGAACGGCAGCGGTGCTGTCCTGCCTGCTTCGAGCTTCCAAACGGTGACAGCAGGAGCCTGAGAGCAGGTCCGTGTGCGGGTCCTTGGAGCCAGAGCTGCTGTTGTATTCTTTGGGCTACAGATTATTGTATTATTCGACTAAACAGTGTATTTTTTTAATTGTAGTTCCTGATACAAAAAAAGAGAAAGTCTGTCTGATTTGCAGCATCATTTTCAATTATCCATACTAGAGAAGATCCTTTCTGATGATTAAATGATGGAAGAGCATGCTATATTTCCCTCCATTTCAGCTTGAAAAGGCTTTTTGTGCACACGAAAAATTGGATTGGGTGTTTAATGGATCGTATTACAGAATAAAAATTGCTAATACAATAAAAAGCCACTATCATTCTGTGAAGAATAACAATTTGATATCCTTCAAATCACTAATAGTATAATTTTAGTTAAATTTAAGAGTAACGTAATTATTCACAGATGGAAGCTAATATGTGAGGATTCATATTGCATACTGATATAATTAACTTTCTCAGAAGCGAATCTTGACTTTTGTATCATAGAACACATTGCAAGTAGAAAAGTGTTTCCATGTCGAGAATTCAAACCAAAGTTTTATTTAATATTATTGAAAATTGCACTGCAATAAGTGTAACTGTTCCTTGTGGGATGCTAGAAACCCAAGTGCTGTGCTGCTCTGCACAGTGTCATCGTTTGCACAGCCCTGGCCTTTAATGTTTTGTTTAGCTTGAGCAAAGCTGGAATCCGTTCATTGCTCAAAGTATTAGAAAAACAATGAGTGCAAGGGGACAAATCAGCATTTTGAATTCCAGATCTGAGTTCCCCTGTTTCTTCAAAGTCTGGAAGTTCTGAGGCACAAAAAAACAGAGAAAACAAAGGAAAAAAAATAGCAAGAGGAGCTTCTGCAGTGATGCCTTTAAGATCTTCACTCCTTGACGTGTGGGATAGGAAACGTGGCCTTGCTGTGGCCTGGACAGCGCTGGCGTGAGGCCGGTGCTGCCTGCTGAGCCCGGCTCCCGCTGCGGGAGACGCCGGGAAGGGCCTCGGGAGGCTCCCGCGGGGCCGGGCTGAGCCGCTTCCCTCCTTCCTGCTGCAGGACGGAGGATCCCCGGCCGGCCGAGCGGGACCGCGGTGGCGCGGAGGAGCCCAGGATCGCCGAGGCGGGCGGCCTCCGCACCCCTGTCCCTTATGGGTTACTTTTCTGTAACTCTCAGTCTGATGAATATCGTCTCGTTACACGGTTCATAGTATGGCTTACTCTGCGCTTTAATGTAAGTGAGAAAAAATCAGATTTTTTGAGTATTCTTACACTGGCAATGTTGTAATGGAATTGAGGTTTATTTGAGAATATTGGCTCCCAAACAGCTTATGCAAAAAAAACGTCAGTTGGCACTGCCATAAAGTCACCTATTTTAAAAATATTTTCTAACTTCACGTCCAAAAATGCTAGGTTTTCCTGGTTTTTTAGGTATCTTGTGATGCCATTCAGTAACGTACAGTCATCCAGAACATTACACACGTTTAAAATGTAACTTTAACTAAACCCATACACACATATAACTGAGAGTGGTCATTCGTGGAGCTCGGAGCAGACTTGGCAGCGGGTGAAGGGATTTGTCGTGCACAGTCCCAGGGTGCCAGGGGAGCCCCAGGAATGTCCATCACCCCTGGCCGAGGGAGGATGCTCCTTGTGTGCCAGCCCGAGGCCGCACAGGACCAGGACTCGGCCTGGCGAGCTCGTTGCTCTTGTTCCTGTGGGAAAACGTCATCGGTGTCGGCTCTGCTGATCCCAGCAGTGGAAACCAAATTCCCTGCTTTTCCTGCAGCGATGAGCAGCCTACGCTCCCATCCACCCTGTTAAGAGAGGAGATACCCAAGTCACACGAGAGTTAGGAAAACTGTCTCTCTGCCTTGGGTTTCTCGCCCTGTTGAGTGCGCGGTGGCTGCAGTGGGTGCAGGAGGTGGTGGCAGGAGGTGGTGGCAGGAGGTGGCACTTGGGGGGCCTCACGGGCCAGGGCTCCTCGGTCCGGAGGGATTTTAGCCAATTTGCCGTGATCTAATCAGGGTTATGAGCAGATAGACGAAGCACAAATTCAATTTACAAATAGGAAGTCAGTGCTGTGAGCCTCGTGGCCAGCAATGGAGCAGGAATTAGAGATCACAAATAGCAGGCAGGATCGGGTTCTGTAACGTGCTGCAGCTCGCGTTTATGTTCTCCAAGAGCAGTTGCAAACCGTGTTGGACTGACCTCATAAAGATTGCCATCAATATGGAGAATTTTGCATGCAATTATTTATAGACATTGTTGGACTGACCTCGTAAAGATTGCTGGCAATACAGGAATTTTGCATGCAATTATTTATAGACATAAAACCAGCCCTGCAGAAATCCAGCTCACTGTGTCCCGGCCCCTTCCAGAGAACTGATGATTTTGTGCAGAGACATTATGAAATTAATGCACAGAGCACATTTGGATCCTGATCCTGTGAATGGAAATGAGTTTGTAATGGACTAGTGTGTGCAGATGTTGCATCTCTCACCAACACTCTCAAAACATATTTTCCATACAAATCTGTGTAATTTCCATTTAAAAAACCAAGGTGGCTGTCGTGAGGCAGTAAAAGCTATAATATTTACCATCAGTAATTAGTAGACTTAGAAGGTGTATGATGAGTTATTTGGATGTCAGAAGCTTAACTATTTCAGGGCTAGAACTGTTCTATTAATATATTCTGTTATTTATGCTCAAAAGGAAAAAAAAGCTTAATCCCATATATGAAGACTGACTGAAGGTTTCTGTTTGTATATTTTAAGTCATGGGAAGAAAAGTCTAAATTTAAATAATGAGGGATATTCCATAATATGATTCTTTAAGTATCAGATGCAGCCTGGTTGTTAAAGTGAGAAGTTCAGTGACTTTCCTGTTTGCTTTGCTGTTCTTTAAAGGCAGGTGGGTGAGGGGCTCAGGGTTCCTGCACCTTGTGGAGTTGAAGAGCTCATTTGTGAACACAGAAAAGGTTCCTTATTAATGTAACATTGTCGTTTCATATTATCAATAGAAAAGTGATGCAGTTAGCTTGTATTGACACCTAGATTCAGCTTCTCGGGAGCTGGAGTCTGCAGGAGCTGGAGTAAAAGGTAGTGGAAGAGCCGAAGCGGGCGCGAGGTGACATCTGTGCAGTGTCACTGTGGGAAGCGTTACGTTTACACAAAGCGTAGTGCTTTGGAGATGATTGCTGGTATTTCTTCAGTGTGGGCATGCATAGAAAGCCTTATTTTGGTTATAATATAAATTTACTAAACAGGGACTAAAGCTGAGATAATTACTTAAATGGAATTCAAAGCTGCTGTTACCAAAGGATAATGATAAGGGTAAATAACAGGGGTATTTCCTTTCCTACTACAGATTCTTTCCACCCACATTGTGGAAGGAGTATCTGCTAAGTACTGCTTCAGGTGATCTCGATGAGTAATGGTGTGGGAGCACAGGAGCACTGCCAGAAACGTGAAGCTCCCCTGCCTGCTACCCAGGACATCTTGAGAGGGTCCCTTCGCTCTCTGATCTGCTCTTTGCTTCACCTGGCAACATTTCCTTATTTTAGTTACTTAATAGAATTGTTCAGTGCAACCTCTTTTTATATTTTGCAGGTTTCAGCATTTTCTACATGGGAAAAAGAATTACACAAAATAGTATTTGATCCACGCTACCTTCTACTGAATTCTGAAGAACGTAAACAGGTGAGTGTTACCTGTACTAGAGCTTCTGATTGCCAACAGATGTCTCCCAAATTAACAGTAATAACAATACAATTAGCTTGGTAGGATAAAGAGTAGAGTGGAATTGAAGTGTCTTTCCTAAGTTTGTCCATGATACTCAATTGAGGCTCTGCTCCTCACAAAATGCTGCCTCCTCCTTTGGAAAACAAAGTGGAGCAAGCAATTTGCACACAGCAAAGAGCAAGAGCCTCCTGGGCTGGAGGAGCAAATCCCACTGAGCCCAGGAGCCTTGGCTGCAGGAAGGATAATGGCCATAAGGTAATGCTTCCACCGTGATTTATATTCTGTATTGTAGAGGGACTGCTTCATTTTTATTACTTGGAGTGTTTTCCAGGAGTTGGTAGTATTTATTGCTATACTTTGCAATAACTAAACTCGGTGGATATAAATGGATGGAGCACAGGCTCTGCCCGTGTCTGTTTGAAGGGTGTTATTTGTTCTGTTCCTGGCAAGGCACAAGGGAAGCAGTGGTTCTGGCTGGGCATTAATTACCACTGGGGATCTGAAAGGACCGCGGGGTCGCAGATTAATCTCAAAATTTAGGAGTGATGCTAGGATGTTGCAGAGAAGGTGAACTCTTTTATTCTGCAGTTATTTCCGTCCCTTATTGGCCTCTTGTCGTCTTGGAGAAGGAAGAATTTGGAGTGTGGAATTGTCAGTTTTTGAAAGAAGCAAGGTGAAAAATGAACTGCTATTCCTATGCCATCGCACTGCGGCTCTATTGTCTTATTGATTCCCCAGGGAGCTTCCTGCGGGTATTTACTAAGGGATGGGGGACACATATTTTCATTTTTTACCTTTCCATTTTTTCTTTCTAAGATTAAAAAGTAAAATAAAATAATAATGAAATATGGGAATGAGAATGTGAGACAAACTGGTAGAATGGAAAATACTGATAAACAAGATAAGAACAGGAATTTTTTGCTTTATTTCAGTGAGTCAGGAATGACAAAATGTACGCCTTGACCAGTCGATCAATATTTATTACTGCTTATGTTTTATCAACCGTAGAGAGGATAGAATAAAATTATGTAATGAATGTAGATAATGTAACCTGGACTTGCAAAACCCTGGTTGGCATGGCCCTCATTTGTAGGGTATATTTAAGGCTCAGAGAAAGCAAGCATTTGGCAGTTGTGCACACAAAGACGTGCTCGTGTTGATGTTGTCTCTGAGAGGGGTGGCAATTGAGGCTCAGAACTGAAGTAGAAGGCAGCGATCACTAATTGCTGTTCCACAAAACAGGGTTAAAAATATTAACTTGGGAACACATGGTATATAATACATTTTAACAGCTAAATTTAAAGTAATGAATTTATGGACACTTGCACTAAGCAGATGCGTTTAATTAGACCCCATTTTCCTCCAAGAGTAATTTAAAAAGAAAGTTAGACTTGGATAACTGATCACTGATTTAATGGGTGTGTCTATTTAGACACAACTAAAATTAGTACGAAAAATTATTCCGCACGCCGATTCGCCTCCTCGCCCGTGTTTCCCTAGGGTTTAGGAGCTGTGGGAAGATCCTGCAGCGGTTAAGCCAGGAACGGTGAAGGGTAAAGGAGCAACTGTGCTGGATAATGAGCTCTCTGTTAATTTTGATTTATGATGTTCATTAGGATACATTCAGTGCTACCAGAAAGGCAAGCAGTAACAGCGTTGCCTCCGTTATTTCTTCCATTTTTTGCAGAATGCTCTTACAGTCAGCTTAAACACATTTAGTATAATAAATTTACTTCCCCTAGGTCTCCACAGTACTTCTTTTATAGCCTTTTCTTGTTTGATGTTTACCTTTCCCATGCCCTTTTTCCCTTTCCCTGCATACCAAGCTCAGTATCAGTTCTGTTCCAGTTGCTTTAGCTTTCATGAGTTGTAGGTGTGCTCTTGGGTGTCCTCATGAGCAAAGAGAAAGTAACCATGGTAGTAGCCATACTCGATGCATGTCCTTTTTGGCTGTAAAAAGGAAAGGATGGAGAATATGGAAAGTGAAGAGCATTTTAAGGAACAGCTCCTTTGATTTAGCAGGCTCGTGTGCCTCGCTTTGCAGAGCACAGGACTGACAGGGCCGGGTTTGTGGTATTTAAAAATGTGATTAAAGCAGCCGGCAGAACCTCCAGATGTAGCTAAAAGTCCTTAACTCCTCCAGATGAAACCCCAAATCCTGTTGCTGACCCCCCCAGCGTGTATTTAGCTGCCAAACCCCATGAGACGTGGCAGTGTCCACCCTTCCAAACACATCAGCGCTGCGTGGAGACTTGTGCAGAAGCGGCTGAACCAAAACGTCCTGGGGGCTGCCTTTTTTGGGGCCACTTGCAGGACGTTGATGCTCGGCATTATGGATGGACTCGGGAATTTGGGAAGGGTGCTAGATCCAACCAGTCTGCCGCATGGATCCAAGCTAGAAGCGGTAATGCTGTAAGCATTAAGGTGTGAGCAAGACCAAGTCACCTTCACCTCGGTTGGGAAATCTTCACTTATCTTATACTTGATGAGTGAATGAGGATATTATCTCTCCAAAGTAGAGCTTTTTCCAGTCTTAACTTTATGAAAACAAATCCTCAGGCATCCATGAAGCAGATTCAGCCACATTTGTTTCAGAAAATACTGAGCGTGGATAAGAATTGTAGTTCTTGAGATTTAAAAACCCTCTGATCAGCTATAAATAGTATAAAATCATTGTTAGTACATAACAATTCTTCTCTCTTGTTTCCCTTTTGTGAGTAGATATTTGAACAGTTTGTCAAGGCCAGGATAAGAGAAGAGTACAAAGAGAAAAAAAATAAGCTATTGCTAGCCAAAGAAGAATTTAAAAAGCTCCTGGAAGAATCCAAGCTGTCGCCAAGGTATGGCACTATCCGATGGAGGTTTGTTAGAAGTTTTCTCAAATTAGGCTGTGATTGTCCATCCTGGGGCTCTGTAACATTGACCCTGTTCTCTGTGTCAGCTTGATGTATACAGCTGTTCTTATAATGCTGTCTTGGCTGTTTCTTCCTAATGTTTTATAGCTACTTTGTTATATTACAGGGAAAGGAAATTTGCCATTTCTCTGTCTGCCTTTCTGGTTTAGTGTATATAATATTGTACATAATACATTTTATAATATTTTCTTAAAAAACATGCATATATTATATAAAATTAATACTTGAATGCTAAATCATGTTATTATTAGGCAAATATATAGAATTCAAGACACTTATTGTGGGTTGGTTTTTATGGAAGAGAAACATAATTTAACCAATTTGTTATTAACGCATCAGTAAATTAAAATAACACCTGCAATGCAGTCATTTGTTTTTCTACATTGATTTTCAAGTAAGAGACCCAAAATCGTATCATAGGACATGCAGTGCTTCAGATAACACTTTCATTTGGAAATTATGTGGAAAAATAAGGAGTTTATGTATTATAATTGTGGTTGAATTGTTGGAACAAAGAAATTACAGCTTTCTCTTACTGAAATATGCAGAGAATTGCATAGCACCGCCTGCCTAGATGCCGAGATAGCGGCAGCACATGAGACTGGAGAAATTGCATGTAGTTTGCACCAGGAATAATGTGGGTGTATGTAGCAGCTCAATGGTAGCCCCAGCAGTTGTGTTCAGTCTGCAAGGACAGAACCTGCAGGAGCAGAGAGCACTTGACACCTTGATGCTTGTCTTGAGCCCACTGCGAGAGCCTGAAGCCCAGGGCGCTCCGTTGCCTTCGGAAACCTCTGCCTTGGCGTTGATTCCGCAGGAAGAGTCAAACCGGCCAAGAAGAGCCCTTTGCCTGGGTGCTGCAGGTCTGGGTGCTGCCCCGAGCATGCAGAGAGGCTGCGGAGGCCGGGATGCGCCGTGGCCACCTGCGCTCGGCACCCACGTGACGAGAGCCGGGCAGCGCGGGTGCCAGCGGGACCGCGGCGTCCCCAGGAGCCCGGCGCTCGGCTGCAGTGACGGGGGCAGCGTAGGGTAGGGGGTAATGGGTATTTTTAAGATAGGCTCAGAGTCTGAACATGAAGGATGGGGGTGATTATATTTCTGTCTACATTAACTTGGCTCCACGACAGTTTTATAGAACCGTCCAGCCATTGGTTGATCAAGAAAAACTCTGGATCTTTCCATAATTACATTTTGATAGTGTAGTCCGTTTTCTCCTGATAATAGTTCTTGGTAGTCACTCATTACTTACTATATACTCATTATATTTAACTGCTAACAATCATCCCCCTTCTTGCTTGCATCATCCCCTCTGCTGCAAGGTGCAGCCCGTAGGATCATGGGGACATTCCAGTTGGATGGATGTGATCCCAGGGGTCATCTGCTCCAGCCCCCT